TTGCTGATTGCTGATGAAATTTGCTGCAGTGTTGGGGATCGCTCGTTGTTTGTACGATTTGGTTCGTTACTATTTTGGTTTGATTCAATTTCAGTTTAGAAAAGGTAAATCGTCTGGTAATTTACCTACCCACTATAGCACTGCCACAATAGGAGTGTTCTGGGGTCATGGCCTGTATGACTCTACAGATCCTCCTATTCACAGATGAAGAACAGATGAAGCGGCGCGCGCCAACAGATGAAGGACAGATGAAGGACAGATGAAGAACAGATGAAGAACAGATGAAGAGGAACAGATGAAGAAGTAGGGCGATTACTCCGCCCATTTTTGGTAAGTTGATCTTGAAATTTTTTAGACAGACTGCTGCTCATTTAGTTTGAGTTTTGGAATCCTGGCGTTATTTGCTATCCATATAAAAAATGATAATAAATGGGTTCTAATTTGTATTGGAATGGACTTGCCTCAGCTTCTCCACCAACTTTGAATAAGTTGATTTTAGGCTTATTCAACATTCCGAGGACAAACTGTAGCTCTATCAGCAACAAATTATAATTGACATACAATTCGTACAGATGAAAAAGTATCTGCAATTCCTTAAACCATTTTTGTAGGAAGATCTCAAGTTTTAAACATTTTGAGGACTGTACTTCATTCATTAGATGACCAAGGACCAGCATGTTGACAAGATCTTGTTGAACCCGAGTGCTTACTCTTGTAAAAATAATAGTTTTGAATTTGTGTATTTTCACATGGATCCATATCGAGACTGCTGATGGTATCTGATTTTCACAAAATCTGGAAGGTTTGATTTGATTGTTTTGATGACTTGTATAGAAGTTTCGATTGCCGCTTGAAAGGCAGGTCGTGTTTACTACTTTCATAATCTGATGGTCCTTTTCGTCTGACTCCACTGCTCCCGATTTTGTCAGAGTCCCTCTGTGCTACAGGCTATCGCGTTAAATATCCCTCAACAGTAAGAAATCGATAATGAGTTTCATATTAATTATAAATCTTGTCCGTTACAGAAAAGTAAGACTTAATTTCATATTATGAAGAAATATGATTTGTTAATATTGCTTTTGGTTCTATAAGAATTGTAGTGACAATAAAGGGAAAGGTAGAGGATGAAGGTTCTTGATTCCTTGGACAGGTTTGAAGTTCTTAATTCCTTGGACAGGTTTGAGGTTCGATCGAAGTAATTGAACATATAAGACCCAAAATCTAGCAGCGCAGTTGGGGAGGGGGTGCGGGAGCTGGACATCCCCTCCGTCCTTCAGCCTCGACAGTAATTGCCCTGATTAAGTCAGTCTAAGCCCTATTTGTACCTATGTTTTGTACTCTGTGAGGCTGGTCCAGCCCCTGTAGCTACTAGTTGGTTAAGCTGCTAAAACCTTGACTTTGTTTATGACTTGCTTCA